ATTGGTTGCCGCATGCCAGAAACTACATGAGTCAGGCTCGCTTCCTGCTTATCAGCGATGGTAAACTCCCTCGAATACACTTGCCCGAGGTTCAACTCCTACCCGGGCAACTTGAAACTGAGACTTAGTCTGCGGAGATCGCATTTGAAACTGGGGAAGCACAACATGCCCGCCAACCGACGCGGGTTACACCCCATTCCGCTCCATCGTGCCTAGACTTACTACTAACGAATTGCGAGCAACGCGCACATGGAATTCAAGCTCTGGAGTCGCTGGTAGCTAGTGACCACTCGATGGCGTTAGCTAGCCTAAAGCTGCCGCTGCTTTAATCGCGTCTGCCGGAGTCGTCCTACAATTATTGGAAGACCGATTTCGATGGCCTCCGTCGAGTCACTATTTAAGTAGACTGGTCGCTGCCGCAAGATTCATCTATGGAAACTGTTGGTCTGTTAAAAAAACGGGCGCGCAAAGGTTGTGCGCTTGTTTCGTACCTTTTGAGTATCGGAAAGCTGGACCAGTGAAGCCACACTGGTTGGACAGAAACAATGGTAAATTGGCTCGACGGCGATACGAAATGAAGAAGAAATTCCTCCTCTCTGGCTCTGCTGACAAGCTAGACGTGCGCAGCCCCTAATGAACTCGAGGGCCTAGATTGCGGTGTAGATGTCCGCAATCTACTCGCCAGTCTTGACGGCACGAATTCTGCCGGACCCAATGGGCTTCACCTGCTAATTTCAAAGTCCTTATCGGCCATCATCACGCCTGCCGTGACGGATTTGTTCAACAGATCGCTGTCCGAGGGTGCATTGCTAAGCAACTGAAAATGTTCAGTAGTGAAGCCGATTCCATGAGACGGTGACCCAAGCAATGTGGACAATTACCGGCTGATTTGTCGCACCTCTATTTTGGCGAAAATGCTCGAGAAGATTGTGAAAAAAGTCTTCTCCAGCTGCTCAAGACGAAAGATCTCATAACGCAGACACAACACGTTTTCATGAAGGGCAGCTCATGCATCACCAATCTGCTGTTGGCACGGCAGGAAACGTTGCAAGCGTTGAATCGGGAGAAGTCAGTGGATGATATCTACATTGATTTCAGTAAAGCTTCCGATAAAGTGAACCACGAGGTCCTGCTCCACAATCTGAGGATGTATGGTGTTGGTGCCGCACTGCACCAATGGATCAGTGACTTCCTTATTGGGAGAAGATGACGGGTACAGATGAATGACCACCTAAAGGAATGGTACCCGTCCACTACCGGCGTACCCCAAAAGCACAGTACTGGGGCCCATTTTGTTCCTGACCACATCATCGAAGTACCGCAGCTTCTTCGGTCGCTCTGCGTATTATTTGCGTATGACCTGAAGACTTGGAGGATTATTGATTCTCCCGGCGACTGTAACATCCTTCAACAGAACCTCGAATGCCTATCCCGATGGTCTACAGAAGTTGACCTACCGGTCAACGCGGCCAAGTCCACCTTTACGAGCCGGGGGAGGGGTAGTAATGAGCGTGCGCACACCATGGTCGGCCACCCCTGCATCCCACCAGTTCCGTAGAGGATCTAGGCTGTGAGCTGAAGTCTGTCGACAACACGAACACACTGTACGCAAACGGACTACGCCTACTTTTGGCCCTTAGACGCAGCTTCTGCACTTGGTCTGAAGAGATTGCCACCCGTCTGTTCTCTTAAATAATAAGACCGGTGCTTGAGTGCGGCTCACCTGATTATTCCCCAATCACAATAGGTCAGGTGCAGAGACTGGAACAGGTCCAGCATGCAGCTACCCGGCTGATCCCCAGTTTACGAGGACTGATATAGGAGACTAGGGCTTCATATCCTGTCATATCGTCGGCTTCGAGTTGATCTCATTAGGACCCAACGGATACAGCACCTGGGCCACTTCCCTACGTTGAGGCCGCTGCTGCACGTTCGCGCGCCAAACAGCACACGCGGACACCGGTACAAACTAGTGGTACCGGATTTAAAGCACATCGCTCACCCTCTATGCTTCGAACGTCGAGTGGTGAAATATTGGAACAAGTTGCCGGAGACGCTAGTCGAGGCGAAATCGGTGTGGGGATTTAAGTGATTCCCTGACGCCCACTTTGCAGACTACAGGTATAGGGAGCGTAACGCACCCGGATAAGATGTAGTGCAGCTGCAATATGCTGCCACCGCGCAGGAACAGACGACGTGATTCCACGCATGTGCCCGATTCACCTACGATAGTGTAACACAGATTTTTATTGTCTCCCTCTCTCTCTATTTTCAGTATTCAAGAGACTGTGGAAAGTGTGGTCTGGGTTTTTTAGCAGTTGCTATACGATTATTAGATGACCCCACAGACACCGACAGCGTCCGCTGCACATTCTTGTCTCATTGTAGGGAAGGCTGGCTACGCATCTAACGTTCGTTGTCGTCCTGTGTTGTGAAGTCTCGAGCTCGAGCAGATGCTTCTGTCATGGACGGCAGGCTTTAACAGCATATTTTGCGTGTGGCCTTACCTACGAGATAAACATTTGTGGACAGACTGAGGCGTTGAGGTCTCCGAACGCCCTACGCAAAAGGGTTAACATGCTATCTCCCTTAAACAGCTAAGATCATCTAGCTCTAGTACTATGAGATCGCATAAGAAGCGCACTACAGAATTTGCATCCTTCGCCGGTGGTCGTGAGTACTTTGATGGCGTGCGCGCAGGAATTGGCACACTGCTCCGTCGGACTGGTGTATATTCTCGGTTGACCACAGATAAGCTCCACCCGGATTAATTTGCAGTGTTGTGGTCTTCTGATGTATTGATTACATGCCAATATCACAACTGATCCACGACATGGTCTATCAAGGCCAGGAACAAGTGTGATTCGAGTACCGAGCCCTGAAGTACGTCACGCTAGACATGAATTGAGTGCAAGGCACCAGGAACCTTCAGATGACGCTCGATGAGAAAGTTGCCTATCTAACCCAAAACGGAGACACCAAAGACATAATTCGGAAAATTCTGAAAGAGAATGAGATGATGCGGTTCAAAAGTCTTTGAAATCCAGTAAGTCGGCATCTACTGCTACCCTGGCATCGACAGGCTATGTCCACACTTCATGGACAATCAACAGGTACGTGGTGTATGACCAATTCTGGCGAAATCCGTGCTACGCCGGAGCAAAAAATTTGTTGCTCTCCAGGTACCCCTCAGTGGCTCAGCAATAATGGGTTCCATGATGCTGTAGGTCACCGAAAGAAATGTCATCGGCCGATAACTCACTGGTTCTACACAGTTGTCAAGTTGTAGATTGGAGTGACGATCCCGTGCTTCCACATGGCGGGAACATGCAGCTAAGTGGAAGGACCTGGTTAGGGATTCAGCTAAGCTTCTGGCAGCCACTTTCAATGACAAAGGGGCTGAAATCACGCAAGGACATGAGTTGCTTGAGTACATCTGTGGTGGTAAAAAGTACCTAAATAAGCCGATATCGGTATGATATGCGTAGGAAAAATGTCAAGTGACGGTACTTTTTAGAAGGTAAGTAGGGAGTGAAGGTGATTCGGCACGTGGGAATTGTTGCACAAGAGCATTGTCCGCCTCCTGTGTCGTCTGCGCTAGCCCAGTGTAAATCAGGAATTCCGCGCCTAACTACGAAGCATCAATAAAATGGCTTGAGCTAAGAGTGAAATCATATCAAAAGGTACTTTACTCTGCTCTCAAGGCAACCTTGAAGCAGTGTGTGCAGTTCAGGCGTCCTAGTTCGTACAGGCTGTGGGTGCACCAAGCTGAGTCCCTCAAGATCATGGCAGAGGGTAAAATTGCAATCAATTCACTCTCTACCAGGGTGGAAGTCATCCTGAGTTTCACCAACTCATTCTTCAGAGTTGGTGAGCCGCGGCGATTTTCACAACATATCCCTCGCCGTCTGCAAAAGCTAACAACCAACACTGAATCTTCTATCCCGGCGGAGTTGCAGTGTAAAAAGAGGGTTAAAACTGAATGCATTAAGGATGGAAGGCGTTTGCGATCCACAGTCGGTTAGCATAATTTATCCGAGAGAAAAATTGCGATAGATCGTAATGATCTCGTTATTTCGCGCAGTGCCTAGCGAAGAAACTTCCAAGCTGCGTCTCTCGCCAAGGCAAAAATGGTTGTTATGCGGAATCGCATGAGGGTTCAAAACCAGTGTTCAACGTCGGCCGACAAACGAGAACTAAAGTGCACCAATAAAACCAGCGGCAAGATGGTCAAGCTGGATGAAAGGAGGCAGTTCATTCAGTGGACACGCTGCACTTCGATATAGGCGAGTGTGCTGAAAAGCTGAGCTGCTGATGCAAAGGATGCGTTCAGCGATAAAGGAGGAACGAAATTATTACCATTTCAAGAATTGCACCGAGAGTAGCTAGTAGAACTGGTAGCCGATCGAAAGCCAAGTGAACAGCCTGTGATTGGTGAAACCAAATGCAGAGCTACCAGTCTAGCAACTACGCTGGGTGGTCGACTTCGTTTGGACACACTGCTATTTGTCCCAGAACCCTTGTGTTCAACCGAAGCAGTGACAAAAGTCAAATGTCTAAATCCACAACGGTGGAGTTGTTGTTAGTGTAAGTAGAATAACAGCACGTATGAGGGCACTGTGAATGTCACGCGAACTATCCTGTTATCTGAGTAACGTTCCCCCTGAAAGACCGACTTTTGCGATCAATGTGAATTTCGGACGCTGGTAAAAAACAACTAGAAAATTCAAGTCGTTTCCAGTCCTTTACACATTTAAACCAAAAGTAAGTTGCTTGCAAAATTCCTCTTGAGGACCTGCGGGTTATAATCTGTGGTGGCTCGAACCCTGACGGGTTCGGAACTGATTGCTACCGATGAGACCTAATGAGACAAGAGGAGTATTCAGCGCCTTTTCAGAGGCGGCTCGGCTGAATGCGACAAGATGATTTGAAACCTTCAGACACCGATAACGGGTGCAGAAAAATGACTGTTAAGATTATATCTCTTGGTATAGCAAAAATTATGCACATGTGTAAATTAAGATTGATCGATCGTCGCCCACTGACATCAACTGCGAGCCACAGGGACTGTAGCGAGTGCACCAGACCTGAAACGAAGGGCATAGAGATAGCATCAGTCTGATGACCACGCGTAAACTGAGGCAGAAGTATAGGCGCGTATTCACCCAATTAGGTGAAAAGAGTTTGTTTGGATGCACATTACAGACGGATGGAATTCACCAAAGCTAGACTCGAGCAAACAGTCATAAGTATTTGACAAGGACTAGTTAGAAGTGAACAATCAATCTGCTTCATGGGGGGGGGGGGGGGTTGGAACCTCACAACTTCACTCCTACGCTCCACTGAGTATCACGCCTGAGTCACGGGAAACCGGAACAGCAAGCATGACTCGGTGTGAAAAAGGAGCCGCTCAACTATTCCGGATGTTGACAACCATCCAAATAAATCGTATTTTGATAAACTCTACACACCACTCTCTATTGATTATCAGTACTGCGTGAGGGGAAAGTGATTGTGAGATAGGATGCGTAATAATGATAAGATCTATCCTCCGTTTTTCGAGATATGCCCTACCCAGAGAATAGTATTTTTTAATTAAAGAAATCCGTGCAACGGAAGTTTGACTCAATGGACGGCTAAAAGAGGGATATCAATGTGTATGGAAGAGTTTGCACGCCAGTCCGAAGGGGTGCTTCGATTCCACACCCTTTGATTCATTTAATTAAACATGCGAAATAATGACCACACTCTAAAAAGCAACCGAATGAGCACCCCGGATCTTTAATGTCACCAGATAGACCAGAGGAGGCAGAGAGCGGTTCAACAATACAAAAACAAGTGACTAGGGAGTAAGCGACTGCGGCGTGCAATATTAGACAATGATAGCGATGTGACCAAGGAGTTGGGTCTCAAGACGATAGAGCAAACACCAAACTGAAGCACCGAGAGAGAAAGGCTTGCATACCTGATCTTCGTGCTCGTTGAAGACGTGTTGCTGCTCTCTGGCATTCAGATCCCAAACGCGGACAGAGCGATCAGTCGAAGCTGTGGCTAAATGCCGGTTGTCGGGTGAAAAGTGGACGGATACAACCCAGCCCTTATGGCCAGTGAGACTGGAAATGATTGCCCGACCATCACGGCTTGAAATACAGGAAATGATAATGAGGAACAGAGAACCAGTGAGTTGAGTATACACGGTTAGAAATGCGGATCTTAAAAATGGGTTGAAAACAACTCGGCTAATGTGTACGTAGCCAGTAGGACGATCGTTCGAGCAGATCAATCGAGATCCAGAGAAGAGGAGACAAAACTATTCTAACGTTGCTAAACAATCGGTGCGATAACGAGGCAAGACAAAACAACATCGTGCTCACACAGATCAGGGTATACAAAGAAGTGTCGGATTTGTGGCTTACATTTTGTCCAGCGTTGTAATAATTTCGCTTACGGCCGCCTCGTGCAAAAGAGAAAAGATAAATAACCACAGATAAAGTGAAAACAAGCTTAGTTATCGATTCCACACCGCGGAGGTAAATTCATTTAACCTAAATCAGAAGGTCAAAGATTGGTTTCTGTTCCCAAAAATGTCACACGTAGTGAAAATATACGACTAGTTCTGAGTGCTTTCCTATACCACAAAGGGAAAACAGCTCAATATGAAATAGGAATGGGTTGGTTCAATCATGAAAGCGCACACGAAGGAACGGCACACAAAACTGCGAACAGCAAAAAGCGTACACACATAACAGCGGACACGAAGATTGAAGACAAGGAAGCTCGTGGACACGGAAGAATGCGCAAATGGAAGATTGCGTACACCAAAAGTAAACACATATTATCCATCTGGTCTCAATGTCACAAGTACCCATATTATTTGTTTGTGGCACTTACAAGATCTAATTTTTAGCCTATGCCTTTAAAAGTAGTAAATGGTCAAAAAGGTGGTATTCACACCCAAAGCGCTCGTATCGCAATGAGGCTGGATGTTACCTTGGTGCGATGGTTTGTGTGACTCAGTGATCTATTGAACTATGCTGGGTGGTGCTTTTTGCACCGTCAAAGCCACTCATAAAAGATTGATCAATGGTTAGAGGCTAGAAAAACAGGCTCCAGATTGGGGGATGGAATGAGGATGGCCCCTTATTCCTTAGAACGGACTCCTTGTAGCCCACTGTCAAACCCGCTGCCTTGCGGTCAGGTTTTTGAATCAAAGCCTTTGGTTGAGAACCCCAATCATTCTCCTGTCTAGCCTGGGTAAGCCGACAGTAATAAAATAAAACGAATTTTTCTGCAAACAAATTTTTGATCCTCTGGCCGCCGCTGAGGAAAATCAACGGTGCCCTATCTGCTGCATCGAGCAGGGTGGATAGGGGTTTGGATGCTACTGCACAAGCCCTCCCATCTTCTTATTCCCTCTAGTACGCGTTTCATCCTGCGGAACACTGGGAGCCCGGGTTGGTTGCTCACCTGTTGATCGCTTCTCCGAGCTTGATAAAGTGATTGCATACGTTTCACCACCAAGCAAGGTGGCATCTTCAGTGCGGTGATATCGGCGCACTGATGATGCCAACTTGCTTGGTGGTGAAACGTATGCAATCACTTTAGCAAGCTCGAAAAAGCGATCAACAGGTGAGCTTGTCACCAACATCGCCCCAATACTTGACCCTCTCCCATCTTGCTTTGCTAGGCGGTCATCTCCTAGTTTCAACCTACATGCAAACGCGGAGCGTCACTGCGGCCTTGTCGACAAGCCTATGTCCAACCCAGTTCAGCGGCTTACCTTTGGAGCTCTTGATTCTTTCTCAGGTTGGCAGGCCTCAATGTACGCACAGTTTTATAGATTGGTTAACAGGCAACACTTTCCCGCACATTAGAGACCCACTCCATCGATATCTGCTGCGTATTGGAAACCCAGCTGCAAAACTCGATCTCAGTGCTCACGATGCAATCCCCTTCAAGTGACACCAGCAGTATGTTCTCATTGCGACTATCCGGTGCCGATGCGGCTTCGAGCACCGGCCAAGGGAGTGTTGGTATTGTCTTGAGTCCCCGGGCTCAAGCTTCTGCGGTTGATTGGATCCCAATCAGTAGCCCGATTGGTTGACTCGTTCAAAACTTCGAAGTCGCGCGGGACTAATAGGTGTCTATACGTCATCGCGGCCTACGCGCCCACAAATCGTAAATACGATTCGGTAAAAAAAAAGGATCGATATCGCCAACTGAATGAGCTCCTTCGCTACAGAAGAAGCACGGACACTGTTGTGCTGGCTGCGGATCTGATCGCTCAAGTTGGTAAAAGGTCCACAGATGAACCACATTTGGGAGGCCAAATCGGTGGAAGCTCCCGCAATGATAACCGTGAGCGGTTACTTCATTTGTGTGAAGATGCTCGTTTATTTCTTGACAGCACTAACTTCCGACACAGCATCCGCCGGAGGGTGACAAGGCGCCCAGCAGCCTCGAATCAAGCATGGAGGCAAATCAATCAACTTGCGATCAGTTTCTGCTGGAGAGGCTGTGTCCAGAACTGTCGCTCGATTTGCAACACATGTGTGAACACCGATCCGGGGGGTACGTACCGGCAGACGCTCACGACGACTCTGTAAGCGCATTGACACCAGCCGACTGGCGAAGCCAGCTGTTCTGAATGCGCATCGAAACACGCTGACATGCGGGTTGAGTAAGCGCTCAGTGAATACAAATGAAAGTCACTGGTCGCGTGTTCACCGGACCTTACTAGCAGCAGGCAAATCCTCGTGTAATAACTCTAATAGTCAACATGGACATTGGGTCTCTTTGCAGTCTTTGGAACTCATCGATGCTCGTTGGCACATTCCGGATGGAAGCGAACACAATGAGACTAGCAGAAACCTCCGGGCAAAACTCCGTGCTAGCCTGAAGAAAGACCGCGAGGTATGATGGTCTCTTCCTGCGTCACAGATGGAAGTGGCCGCTGTCCTTAGTAACCATCGGAAGTCATTCCGTCCGATACGGGAAACGAGCACCAGGAGACCTGGTGTTACTGAAACCATACGTGACGAGAGTGGACAACCTATCCACAACTTGTCAAGACGCTTGGAGAGTTCAGGTAAGCAATTGAGAGGCATTGAGAGGATTGGACGGAATTGTCAGATTTCCGGCCGGTCACCGATCGCTTTGTAACTTGGGCTATCACTATGGATCTGCCCCCTCTGTTGAGGTTGAATAAAGCCGAAAGGACCAGATGATCTTCATCCAAATTACTTGCCTCTGTCATCAATCACAGAGTGACTGGCAATCGTGAAAGCCACATTCATGAGAAGCAATACGGATTTCGTTGAGATCGAGGCTTAATCGATCACATCTTCCCATTGCGTCAATTGTCGGAGCACCGTTACACATATTGGAGGCCCACCGTTGTCGTGTTCCTCGACATCAAAGGTTTCTTTGATTCGGTTGATCGATGTGCACTTTGGAACTGTCTACCAGGAAAAGTGTGCTCGAGAAATATTATCCGCGCACCATACGCGCGTAGCAAGGGCAGGATGAGGGCTTACGGCAAACTGTCGCCGTCCATCAGTATCTTCAGCGGTGTTAGACAAGGATGCCCACTGTCACCTTTCCTCTTCAATTTCGCTATTGACAAAATCAAGGAGATTGCATTCATAGGACAGGTGTGGACCTACATCCAGGAGAACGACTTATCGAGTTGGAGAATGCGGACGATATCGCCCTAAGCTGTGACAGCTCCCAGACGTGCCAAGCTGCACTGGATAGATTAGCACTGGCTGTCAGCCGCTTCGGGCTTTGCTTTGCACCATCAAAGTGTAAAGGTTTCCTCCAAGGTTAGCAGGGATCGCTTCCTGTGCTGATCCTTGGTAGGGATAAAAATTCAACTACCTGGGAAGTTGTGGCGGCGCCCTTGGGATCAAATATGAGATCACGAACCGTATAGCAAAAGCTCGAGGTGATTTTGCTAGCCCTCGCCACCTATGGCGCCGGCGCGACATCACTCTCGAGGTAAAATGTAGAGTGTACAATGCAGCGGTACGTTCGACCTTACTGTGGGGTTGTGAAACCTGGACCATTAGATCAGCGGACATAAGGAGGCTAGTTACGTTTGACCACCGGTGCCCTCGCAGTTTGGCTCGCATCCGGTGGGAACACCGTATGAGCACCGTGCGTGTTCGACGCCTGGTTTATGGTACAGGACAAGGAACTGAACCGCTTAGCACTGTCGTTTCAAGCACCAGACTCCGATGACTCGGCCAAGTGTTACGCATGCCAGCAAACTGGCTCCCGTTAGGTGTATTGTTTGCTTTCCTAGTGTGGATGGAAGAAGAGCAGAGGTGACCAAGCGAGAGGAATGAAGGTCTTCACTTCGAAGCTGGCCTCGTTTGGAGCGTCACAGCTGCCTGGTTGGAGTCCAAAAGACGATGAACACGTTTGGCTAGGAGCCGACCACAATGGCGTTACTGCTGTGAGTTTCTTGATCCCTCCCTATCCCTTTTAGCCTCCGCTCCAACCACGATCTAATTTCGTAGCATAATATAATTTTACATAATAATTTTTTGTTGCCTAGTAGCCGGCAGGTATCTCTCGGGAACGATGCCCATCCGTTCCTGGTAGCTTAGCTGGCATGCAACTGTTGTATTTATTTTCTTTTTTTATATACTGCGGTACAGTAACTGAGGTGTTACACCTCTAGCTAACGTGTAAAATAAATATGATGAGGATCCTCGTTAGTTCGACCGCTGGGTACGTACCGCACTGCGGAGTGTTGCAAAGCCATCTACAGAACTACACAGACTAAGCATCGCTCGCCTACTGCAGTTAGTCGAGGTCTCAACGAATAGGCGGCTGGAACCCACTGTGTCAGCAGGCCAAGTTAATGTTCCGCCTTCCTCGGCCATCCTTTCGAAGACGCTGAAATTGAAGTAGGCTACTTCCACCTGAGCCAAAGCTTTATAAGGAATATCAACAACTTGGGCCTTAAGACGTCCTTTGAAATCGATGTTAGCTGAAAACTTCAACGCAAGCCACTGGCTGCACTGGACATGGTTTCGGTTGTTGATATAATTGGAGTGTTTGATGATTTTCATGTTACATTTCCAAAGGAAGAGTCATATAATACGATGCTTACATACTTCTGAACGTACGGTTGCGAAACAATCCAGGGCAAAGTGTACTTTACTTAATACTCATATTAGGCATTCACGTCGTAAAAAGAGAGCTGCTGGACAGTCTTCCCGGAATTAACGTCACCCCACAGCCGTTCATAAACATCTGCAACATCTAGGCCGACCTTTTGATTGGGCTGCATATGTCCACTCCACCACCTAGCTCACCAAGACACAATGTAGGTGCCGGTTTTGTTTGTAGCCGCCTTTGCGACGACGTCGTTCGATCACCTGAGAAGTCGGTTGATTCTGTGACGAAAAACTCTGCAGGCGACCAGTTTAGTTGGTAGCAGGCAAATATCCAGGTAAGGGCGCAACCATTTACCTCTTAACACCATAGCTATAATTTGAGTCCGAAATGAGGGACGACATGGAAGGTTATCGAAATGCCTACGGCCCCTTGTGCAGCCGCGACGGGCGCTCCCACAACCCTAGAACGCAGGAATCATCAGTGCCGTTTGAGTGTTACGACATATGTACCCCAAAAGTACGAGTGACTATACAAGTGTTGATGTGGACTGTTTTCATCAATGAAATGCGCACGTGGAAAATTGCCCACTTAAGCAATGCGAGAACGGGCTAATCACTCGTAAAAAAAACTTTCAAATTAAAAGAGACGGAACGTAGGTACAGGAATTGTTCCTAAAGGTGAAAATTTTGGTTTAGCGCAAATAGCTTAACACTAGGTTTAAGAGCGGCAGGAACAACAAGGGTAATTATTGCAAATTACCTAATCTTTTGCAAGTATGTAAGTCGGTCTCCCGTTGATTCATAATCTCAAACAAGAGAAGTAACAGCAGCTTTCAACGCATAATATATTTTCTTCCTCACCTCAAAGAGACCTGCACTCACATTGGCTAGTGTAAGTTTGTGGCATCCCAAGTCCCTCTGTAGTCCATCAAACAAACGCCATAACGCTTGGATGACGAATTCCAAGCATTGTAAATTCCTCCGAATCAACTGTGGGTTTCCGGTAACCTATCAAGAGCATCATGGTAATGGTTCCACATTTGTAGTGGAAACTGTGGTTCACGGTCAGTAGAGAAGAAATAGTTGAGCACCGAATTATATGATTCTTCATTTGGAAATGTGCTAGCAAGCTCATCAAAAACACCTCTAACTTTAGCGACTGGGACTAAGGAAAGTGACGCCAGTGACTTCAGTTGTAGTTGAATTCTGACATTCATTTCAAAAGCACTCTTTACGCCGACTTTGCAGACTTTGTGATGATACTCTGGAGCAGGTACAATTAGCATCCTTTAATTACTAAGTCAAGAAATGCGAATCTCGCCGCGTTAATAGAAGTTTTCTCAAATTCGACTAACACCTTTGTTGTCATATATCCGGTAACAGCAATTTCATTATTGCAAACATTTTCGTAAGGTCTGCAACAGAATATAAAGGTAAGCGGGATAAGTCTTGTCCCCATTAGCATGCCACGTATACGGCAGATAAAAGGTTTTAGGATCTTTATCAAAAGTGCCGTCCTCGTATATGGTTTCTGTGCACAATTCAAGTATAACTTTTTTATCACCTAACACAGAAGTCCTTTCTGAATCAGCCATACCTGAATCATGCAGAATTAGTTCGGAGTACAGCTCAAGAATAGCAAAATTTGTACAGGTTGGATAAGGCAAATGACTGCTTCTTCGTTGACCCAGAGGAGTTCTTGTAGTGCATGACCGTTTGGGAAAGTGGGCCAGAGCATCACTACTCAGTGCAGACAACACATTTCCTAAAACGTTGCGAGATGTAGCATTGACTGCCCACAAGTCCAGTTTTATTTGGCTTTCGCTTTTTGAGAACATGAGTTATGACAGTGCGCAGTCGGCTGTTGCAAGGTGATGCCGTCTCGTGTCTTCATCAGTGGGTGACACTTCACACCTCGTTTTCGCCTGCATTTTCAACTTACCACTCCTTCGACAGGACGGAAAGCGAGGTATTCAAACCCTAAGTAGGTCAAAACTAGGTTGCCCTACTGAGTTCTGGAGTACTCCATAGGTAACAGTGCAATAAGGAACGACGATGTGTGTTGCAGTCCACTTAGCAAATCGCGTACTCGCGTCAACTGTTTACAGAGAACTCGTTGATTAAAGCGGTTACGTAGTAGCGTCATTGACCAAACACTGGTGTTCAAAGGTCATTTGATGCTGTCCAGCTTCGCGCTCTGCGGCCGCGATCACCAACGTCTTCATGGCTAGGTGACATTAGCGAGGAACTCTATCTGATTACATGGAGTGAGTGTCACCCGCAATTTTGTTACTGTTTCGACAAACTTAAGTTTGTGGTTTATGAATCACACCCCACTGCGGGTGTACAGCCTTTGTGTCTGTACTAGGCTCAATTAGTGGTCCCATCCAGCATACGATGTTCGGTACGCGGCTGATAGGAAACTTCGATGGGAATGCTGTGCACGTTGAACAAGTGTGCGCCGACTGTGTTGATGAATCGCGAATACTATACACTTGCCTCCCGGTCTTCTTCGTATGAGTGTATACTGGATGTGGTGTGTGTGGAGGGAGCTATGGGTGATGAAGCGCAGGTCCATATGTCACTAAGCGCAGGCATTCTGTGATTATCCACATGCGGGACACAGTAACAAGTAGAGCTGAGAACGGACGCTGTCAGTCGTCGTGATTCACACTTGTCTAGACATGCATACATGGTCATAGTTGTGCGCTCGTGTAGCTGTAATATTACTGAGAGATATACAGTTTTGTGGAACCTTGTTAATAACTTGTACACCGTCAATATGAGTCAACATGTCTGTATTCTTACAGACATTGGTGACATTGGGTTAAGGTGGAATATACATTTGTGAAGAGGGAAAATACAGCTCGGTCTTAAGATCGGATCAAGCGTTGGAGATGTTTAAAATAATTCCCCCACGGATGCAACGTTGTATGAGCCGCTGTGGTGTGACGTATATTCCGATACCGAAGATAAGTCTCATTGTCTCGTAGTCAGTACCCGTAAGACGTCCAGTAGATTGTTTTATGCAATGTGAATTCCTAATATGAGTATTAAGCAAAGTACATAAATAATACGGTCATATGTGACCATGTTAACAGGTTGCGAAAATGTATTCAATTTTAGTGCCCCATCTTAGTGCCCCATGTTTCGTGTGCGCAAGCTTCCGTGTCCTCAATCTTCGTGTCTAAAAGGGCACACAAGTGGCTCAGATGAAGTATCAAAATGAAACAAAAACCATGAACGACTGAAGGATGCCGGATGTTAAAAGATTGAAAAGGAACACGAGTAGAGTTAATGCATTGGTGTCACACTGGACGGAGGCAGATAGGTTGGTGGCACCATCAACAGACTTGGGAAATAACTAATGCGTAACACACGGTGTAATATTTTTTATCGGAATTTGTATCGTCAAGTATATAAAGCAGTGAGCATGCGTTTACCTTAGGTGATAAATATCGAGTAACTTACGCGTCAAAGACTTTAATCTGCTTGTCATCAGAAGTTGAAGCCAGTAACCGACCATCGGGTGAAAAGGCTAAGGATCGTACGGGCATGGCATGCCCATCGAGAGGTCGGACGGCACCGGTTTGTAAATCGCATACGCTCACAATTCCGTTTATAGCGCCAGTGGCCAACTTTGTTCCATCCGGACTCTGTAAAGCGTTGGAGGAGAATTGATGAGGTGTAAAATTAAAATGGCAGGAAGGTGAGGACAAATGGCGGAAGCAAATTAGCGAATGAGTGCATGAAATACTAGTGAAACATTCAGATACAGTTCCGATCCACGAAATAAAGCAAATTGCATTTGTTCGTCACTAAATCTTGGAGAAATTCCAATGATAACTTCATCAATATCAATTGACATAATATTTGAAGGAAGGAAAATGAGCATAGGATAGTTGGGTCTATATACAGGATGCGATGGGATGTACTGATCAAGATGTAAGTCACGGGAAGGTGCGTCATCGCTGTACTGAAGATACCTAACATTCGAGACGAATATGGCATTGTAACGACCAGAGGCTATCGCTGCTTGGATCTGCGGCCGGTGTGACGTGACTGGGTCACACAAAATGTCGAGTAAAGTGACCTTAAGAAGAGGAATGTATCACTGAAGGATGAAGTAACAGAGAGTCCAAATTCAGTTCAAACGGGCACCGTGGACGCACACTGTGCAGCCCATCTGTAAAGTGAGTCTCCAGACAAGGACTGAAAGGCATCCAATGCTCAATAACAAAACGCTGTTGTGGGATGGCCAACATCCCTCATATCGGCAGATATGTACATAGAAAGCCTCGGACAATGGAGCGTAGTGAGTACCAGTGGCTAATGAAGGTACAATGGAACTATATAAAAGCCCCTCCACCACTATAAGGAGTTAGGAGTTGCTACGCCGCGTAAGCTCTATTGACGAGTGATGGACTTTACTGTGGAAATGGAGCCGAGTAGTAGTACGCCCACTTGAACTGAATACTTAATCCATTGGAACTAACGAATCGAAAGAAACACAACACACTACAAACCGATGGACAGACAGAACTACAGTTCAACCTATTGATGAACGTACGTGTTGCAATCATCTAACTCATTTCACGGGGTGAGGACCCCGAGCATCGTGGAAAGAGCATAGTAGTCGGGACATAAAGAAAGCATGCGACAAGCACCGAACAACGATAATGAATACGGAGACTTAAAGCAAGATCGGAACAGCATTAAGTTAATCCTAAAAATGACAACATAAGCAGGATGGTATTGTGAGCAGACCAGCAATGATTAACCGTGAAGCAGTAGAAAGCGCCATAACCGATATTTAGTTGAATCGAACTGACGAGGTGGAGTTGTCAAATGCGTTATGTGTGAAAAAGATGTCAAGATATTGAAAAACTCTCAATGTCTCACGGAAGATGGTATCCAGGCATACAGCGAGTTCCCTTCAGCTTGCCCTATGGTTTCAAGTCAAGTATGTAGAACTTCTACGACCACATGAAAATTCGCCACCAAACAGAGGAATTTACCCTAACACACCATTTGACTGTTTTCGATCTTTTATAAAACAGAAAAGCGGAATGGCTGAATCGCGTTCCACGTTGTCAGTTACTACCCCCCACCAAGTTGACAACTAAAATGTTCAAAGTGGTAGGGGAGTTGGAGTGTTTCGGGAAGTATGCTGAGGCAGGTTCAATAGGGTAATAAACAAACTCGGAAAAGCGATCGGCGGCCGGTTTGTCCTGTTGAGGTCCGACAGCCGGCTGTCTCTCCCGAATCCAGCGGGACCAAAAGCTACGACATTTCTCCTTACAAGTCGATGAGTTGATCCAATGTAGACTATGGTGACGGACCGGCATAACTGAAAACCCCATGCTTATGCACATAGTAACGAGTGCGAATCTCGCAGGATTCGAACGACGCGTGCTGCTGACGGTTCCCAGTGGAACGAAATGGTCGTCAAATGCTTTCTTGATCGAGCGATAATTGTCCGACTACACTTGGTTACGACAATCTTCATGATCGGCTTGCTTGTTCAGCTCCGTGCCATCTACTAGTTCCTCCTTAACAGTTTATCATTATTCCTATGCCAACGTAGATGAAAGCGGTGAGGTTCTCTGTGTAGCGACGGTTGGCTATTCAGAGGCAAACGAGTGATTCAAGGAAGAAGTGTTAGTGGAAAATATATGGATTGTCGGCTTCCACAGGATATCAACACACATCGTTGTGTTGCGTCCATAAACGACAGCGTTGTTGTGCCACAGTAAAATAACGGAGTCTGAGATCACGGGTCCTTGCAGGAACGGCGTAGATGGAAGATGACATGTGGTGTGTACAATGTCCGAAATCAATCGGTTCGTGTCTGATTGCATTCATCTTCCCGTAAGTCTGCTCGTGTATTCCGAATAGCCACTCCCATCACCCAAGCATAGTGGTGCACTAAAGGTGGGTGAGCAACCAGATGCGAACTGCAAAGCAGTGGGGTAGGAGGGGCATCTCAAAAGCGTAACAATACAGTTTGCAAAAAGGCTTACGTATGCCAAACTGTACACAAATTTCTCGTCCAGCTGAATAACGTTTTCTTTGGTACCCGACTCAACACCAATCATATTCACGCAGCCAGCATGGCTCCCAGTAGCAACAAAGCGAGAGTCTGGGGAGATAGATACGGTCCAAGTGTCAGCAGGATCACCTTCGTAAGTTTTAAGGAGGCGACCGGACTCTAGATCCCAAAACATAATCTGTAAGAGGATAAAACATGGAAGTAAAGGTGTAGTGGGTGAAAATGGGAGAACGTGATTTTCAAAAGCGAAAAGATGCAATGAGATCCGACAAGGGAAGCCGAAGGTCCCAAATTAACCAAATAAAAGGGAACGAAATGGACTCCTTAATTAGTGGTAAAGCCAAGGTCAACGAGACAGGTGTACAATAAGTAAGCAGCCGTAGGGGGCCGCTGCATCACTCAGGGTCCAGTTGCTAAAGTGAGATGGTCGTAGATTAGAATGTCGCGGTAGTAGAAAGAAGTACGTGCAGCTGATGAGTCGAAGTAGAGTGGAATGGGTGTGCGGCGACTGTATGACCGAACTAGGCTGCACCGAAACTCTTGAGAATGTGCACTAGTCACGGGTCTCAATTAAATGGGGTATAAAATCGGAGATGCATAGTGGACTTTCCGAGTTAGAGGTATCCAAAAAAGCAACAATCTCCGAAGAATGCTGAAGACAACCAGTGGTGTGTATTAATGTCCCAAAAAGTTTTTTCGGATCAGCAATATACGTTAACTGCGAAAGAAAAGTTTTGGAATCTGACAAGCCGGTTCGATTCAGTTCAGTTGATTGACTATGATCCGAGCACCAAAGTGCGGTGGATCCAGTTGCCACGACCCACATCGCAAAAATAAGTAAATAACTACGGACAGTGCGGCTAAAGGCAAATAGAATGCAAAGAAAATGGAAGCAAGAAGTGCGTTAAACTAATCAGAATGGAACCAAAATTAACGACTAGATGCAAGAAACCGAATGCAGGAACGCCACTGACAACGTGACTGCGCCATGTCAGATACGGTCTCGAACCAGTGGTGTGGACTATGCCGAAGCCCCATCCAGGAAGACGGCAGGCACCAGCCTGACCAAGTCTCAGTAAATTTCTGCATGCCACTGTGACACGTCATGGAATGGCCACCTCGCGGTTTCACCCAACTTGGTGCAGCCAAGGCGTATAATGTACGAAAGGAAGCCAGTCAAAGAACACACGTAGAACATGGCTTAGCAAACGTAGGCGAGTAAGATTCCGCAAACAGTCCAGTGAGGCACCAAAAGGCTTCTTACCAAAAACTAACTGGCGGACCTCATCATTGCTCACTGGGAGTTTCCACCAGACGTGAGCAATGCTCCGCAAGCACCGGAGTTCAAACATGGAGAAGTGATTAATGTCTTCGCCGCGAACTGGCCAGGTCTTTGATTCATACAGTAAGACCAGTCTTAACGCAGCGTTATACACCCTACCTTTCACTGATAGGCTAATATTCCGCGGTCTCTATAGATGACTGAGTCTCTGGAAAGCCACACGGGTCTTGCTGATACGTGAAGTAACTGCCTCAGTGATGTGACCACGAGAGGTGCTATAGGTACCAAGGTAAATGAAAAGATCCACCACTTCCAGTGGTTGTTCGGTGATAGATAGAAACGGAGGTATGTCGGTCCAGTCCAAAAGCAGTACTTTGCACTTCGAAAGTAAAGAGCAAATGCCGAAGCGGGCGCCGCAACGCATCAGTCTATCCAGCAGTATTTGCATAGTCACTGCGTAGGATCCAAGAAGAGCTATGTCCTCCGCATACTGCAGATTTGTCAGTCGGTCACCTGGTAGAACTTCCACTCCGGTAGAGTCTGAAAGGACGGAGTCACTCATGATCATTTCGATAACAAAGTTGAAAAGGAAAGGAGCTATAGGACAACCCTGGCGAACCCCACTTGTTGTGGGAAACTCAGGAGATAGTTTCCCGTAGACCCTTACACGGTCTCGGCAGTCACGGTAGACTTACGAATGGAAAGGAATTTAGCCTGCACACTCTTCAAGGATAGGTAGTGCCACAAGCTGGCGAAGTCAACAGAGTCGAACGTAGCTTTCAAGTCAAGGAAAACCATCATTGTCAGTGGTCTGTACGTGTACGCCTGATCCAACACATGGCGAAGAGTAAATAGGTGGATGATACAACCAAGATCAGGGCGGAAGCCAGCCTGGCGTTCAGTGATTCCGTTCTCACGGGGGCCAGTAAGTCGTCGGAGAATGATACCCATGAAGAGTTTGGATGCAATGGAAACAAGGCTGATGCTTAGATGATTTTCGCACAAAGTACGCTGAGCCATCTTGAAGATAGGCACGAGAGCTGACAGTCGCCAGTCGGAAGAAACCTCTTCAGTGTTCCAAATCGTGTTCAATAAAGTAGCGAGTCGAGTCAACTAAGGGGGACCACCACCTTTCAGCAAAGATGGAAGAAGACCGTCGGATCCAGGAGCCTTGTTTCGTTTCAACACGGAAAGCTCATGTCGAATCTCTTCCAAAGTAGGTGTCACATCTGCTTCCCATGATGGTTCAAGCGATTCGGCAAGTGACACTGTCACAGCAAGCCTGCTGAACTGTTTCACAAAATGTTCCCTCCAACGGGCTAGTGGACGATGATGAAAATGGATCAGCTGCCCGTTTTTCTCAGCTACTGTCTCGCTAACGGATGGCTTTCTCGGACCCGTGTTCCGGATGAGCTGAAACAGAACCCGGCTGTTCCTAATAGTACTGGCTTTCCCCATCTCATAGGCCCTTGGGGTCCACCAAGGTTCCCGGTCGATTCGAAGGCTCCTTGTGATGCGTCGTTTCAGAGAGTTACGGGCACGCCGAAACTCAGTGCCCACTGGAACTTGTTTCCGTGCTTTGATCAAGCTGATCGATTCCTCAGAGATCCATTCGTAGTTACGAGGTTTCAAGTTGGGTGCAGAGCACGTGTCAAAGGCATTCTTCATGGCACATCTGAGACGATTCCAGTCAGCGTTCGGCTCACCAACCTCATTCATCACTGACAATTGGTGGGCCAGTTCGTCGTGATATTGCTGAACTGCAGATTGCGAGTTCAAGTTACAGGTAAGAATGTTAAAAGGTAGACGCTTCTAAGAAGCGGGAAGAATGAGTACCAAGGGTGGCGCGTTAGAGCATGGTCGGAATTCATGCGCCTGCTCCAAATTGACCGTCAGTCTCGGATAATCCGGTTAGCCAAAGGCATCGAGGAGATCAGACCAGAAATTGTGGTGCAATTTTATGGATGAAAGGAGAAGAAAAGAGGTGCGGAAAGTTGAAAGTAGAGAAGAGATATATAAATTGTGATATCTGTCTGTTCGCCTAGTGTTTCTGTGGAAAAATATAAAAAAGCATGAGGAATACCATGGAGTCGGTTAAAAGTGCTGCGCTTTTTACGGTTATAACCCGTCAAGTAGGTCAGAGAGAAGAATGCCACACCAACGAATTGATCGTAATTGTCAAGAGCAGTGACGACACATAAGCCATCAAGCACCCACAGAGTGCGAGAAAGAGAACTTGTGAACAGTAAAAAGATAAGTAACGAGATCTAACTGCATTAGGTAAACATCAAGAGCATCAAATGGCAATGTGAAATCGAGGTGAAACCAATAAGAAAGAAAGCATACTGGCTTCATCTTTGGTCTCGCAATAGGCACAAATCTGCCCCAAGAGTAACTCAAGACCATGTACAAGGCAGGCAGACAAGCAACCGAGGAAACAAGAGTATCGTCAGTTATTTATCGCTGGCTTCGTGATATAACCTGCAACGTCTCGAGTTTGGTACATGATGGGTTGTATAGACCCCAGACCAAAAGACAAGAGGGAATGACAATTAGAGTCAGACACTTTAATTCCCACCGGCAAATCAGCCATGGTTGCCCAATGAACCTCAGAGTCTCGTAGTGCAAGGGTTCAGATAGTCTAACAGGCAACTTCGGTCGTGGATTCTAGTTCCCGATTTTGTATAGGTTTAGACAAACCCCGGCAGCATTCTAGTCCCTACGCGACTATTTGCGGTTGCTTAACAGCACAAGGTACCGACGCAAGGTGTACTGGTGTATTTGTAAAATTAAAACATTTCAGATCCGGTAGACGAAACAAATCCTTCCTAGGTAAATGATGAGCAGGTATATGTAATAAGTGAACGAACAAATACAACCTACAATAAAAGCTACGAACCTGACCACCTCCATTACCAGTCCACCTCTCTAAGTTGACCGTATTATTTTTCACTGCTTGAATGCTCATCACGTAAACGCTACGGATCCAGGTATCTGTATGTTGACCACCTTAGTATGTTGACAATTTTGGTCCTGTCCCTAGAGTGGTCAATTTACGGAGGTTCTACTGTGTTGTTACATTCGTTAATTCAACGAATCAACCCTAGTATCGCTGGACAGCATTAGCCTGTGCTGAGGAACCACTTGCACCACTCGATAGGAAGAATAAGAGTAATCAGTCAATAGGGTGTCAGCAGTACGGCAGCACCTCGTACTGACACTCCGCTGATACTAGATCGTCAGAAATTGGATTCGGATAAGGAATGTTGTGAGGTCGACTGTACCCACGAACTACAGGCTAAATGCCTGAAGAACTCCACTGAGGCAGAAAAGCTGAACGCAGTTCAAGTCCAGTCGAGAGTGCGTCTTTATGCACTCGTGACTGGTGAATTTTCAGCCGGGACACACATGTTATCAAAAGGACAAAAAAGAAATTCAAAATTGACAGAAAAGAGAAAGCTCAATGAAAAACATAATCTCAATAGTAAAATTTACCGGCCAGTATTCGTACAACAGCGATTTGGTCAAATAGAAATCTGGCTAGAAAGGGAATGACAGACGAACCAAAAGCCCTCGTGTGGGCATCTATTGTTCTTTATGAAGCGAAGCTCATGAGCAACTTCAGCATCAGATGGTGGTGAAGCATCTAGACACCACGGAGCACTCAGGATTCCTGAGTGGAAACACATCAGTGCTGTTGGCCAGTTAAACTGCTGCTCAAAATGCTCGGCTCAACGCATAAGTCAGCGTTTTGACAGTGGATTGGTTCCCCATTAGTTTCGCACAAAATTTCGCTTACAGCCGGCCTTCTGCAGCCAGTGGATCGAATCAGGTGGAAAAGCTTTCGGAAATTAACCGAGCTAGCCGCCTGCTCCATATTAATGACGCATTGCGTC